GTCAGTACTAGGCCCAGTCTTGTTCATATTCTACATAAACGATCTAAATACTGGGATCAGCAGTGACATAAGCAAGTTTGCGGATGACACCAAAATAGGGCGGCAGATTAATTCAGGGCAGGATGCAAATGCATTACAGGAGGATCTAAATAAACTGCAGGGGTGGTCTGAAAAATGGCAAATGAAATTCAACACCAGCAAGTGCAGCGTACTTAATATTGGAAGAACAAATGCTGCCAATGCATACAGCCTTAACAACATCAACCTAGAGAAGTCGACTTGTGAAAGAGACCTAGGGGTACTTGTAAGCCCGGACCTACGGCCTAGAAAACAGTGCGTTAATGTTCGAAATAAGGCAAACAGAGTGTTGGCTTTTATATCTAGAAGTGTAAGTAATAAGAGTGCAGAGGCCTTATTGCAACTATATCTTGCGCTAGTCAGGCCGCACCTCGATTATGTGGTTCAGTTCTGGTGCCCTTATTATAGAATGGATATCTATTCACTAGAGTCGGTGCAGCGAAGAATGACGAAAATGATTCCGGGACTTAGAAACCTTCCATATCAGGATAGGTTAAAGAAACTAAACTTGCATTCCCTAGAAAGACGAAGAGTGCGGGGAGATATGATAGAAGTATTCAAGTGGGTGAAAGGAATCAATAAAGGTGATATAGATAAAGTTCTTTTAATATCCGAGCAGAATAGAACTCGGAACAACGGATTCAAGTTGGATAAGTTTAGCTTTAGGAGGGAGATAGGAAGGAACTGGTTTACAAATAGGGTGGTGGACGAGTGGAACAAGCTTAGCAACTTTGTAGTAAGTGCTGGAACGCTGGAAAGTTTCAAAAGGAGGCTGGATAGATTCATGGATGATAGAGAGTGGTAGTAACTCTCTACAGGAGCTGCCATGCACAGGCCAACCGGCCTATTGCAGACTCCTTATGTATTTACTGATACGATATATTATGGACATTATTAAAACGTGGACATTAAAATTAATTAAAATGCTTCATTTGACTAAATATTGCTCAAGTTTTGGTACAGTTTATGCTGCCATGACACCTAGAATCACATACAAGTTTGGCTTTAAAACACTTGCAACGATTTTTATTTACCTTTTTTTTTTTACATTTGCACCCCATCCTTGTCCACGTATTCAATAACAGTGTTAGTAAGTGCCGATAACCCCAAGTATATTTCTTGGGTGTCCTCTACCATGGTCTACAGCTGAATAGGAAAGACAACATTATCTCCAGGTTCTGCAGTTTTGCAGTCCTAACGACTTCACTTTACTATTCCCTCGGCTTCCCGCAATTGACCAGATCATGCCGTAGTACGCAGCTTCTTCATCTGCCCCTCTTGGTTTTCTTCATCTTGTGCTGTAACAGATGACATCCATTGACGAAGAACTGGTGTAAGCTTGGTCATTAGGGTTGTCCTCATTAGGGAGTGGCTGGCTGGGTTGATCTGGTTAGTTGTCATCAGGGAGTCGCTGGTTGGGTTGATCT